TGCCAGTTTTATTCAGACAATTGGGAAATGGAAGTGTTTGACTGATATACTGGGATAGATGGTTTTAAATCATCCATTGTGCTAAAATTGTGGCAGTGTGAGTGAACTTCACTTTACAACAGGGCATGATAGCGTTAACTTGGCAATGATGGTACCAGGTGACAAGTGAAAAAAGGTGTATGGTCTCAGACAATGACATACCTTGCTTTGAGCACAAAAGGAAACAAATATTGTCCATAACATCCACAGAATAAATTTGGAGGGGAAAAACATTCTGCAATAAACAGCAAGAGATGCTACTGGCTGGGAGGGTGGTAGAGGTGAATTGCCTCACATTCTTTAAACAGATACCTGTATGAGCACTTGGCACATAAATTCCAAGGCCATGGGCCTAGTGCTTGTAAACAGGATTATGTTGAAAGTCAGGTGTTTCTCAAAAGTCAGTGCAGACTCAATAGGCTGAAGAACCTCATCTGTACTGTATGTTTCTATGATTCTAAGATGCAAAGTTAGAACAACCGAGTTAAAACAAAATCAAATAATGTCCTTTTACATTTTACACGAATATACAAAATTAACTGTTTCCTGTATGAAATAATGCCATGTTTCTGACCTGTGAAGATCACATCAGGAAACAGGACTGCAAGTAAACTTTGCAGCATCATAACATCAGTGAAAGATAGCCATTGCTTCTCACCCACCTAAGATTTATGACTGGCCATGTGCAATTAACTCACTACCACCCATTTTTCATTTCAGAAACTTGATTGTTAAAAGGTTATATGGAACATGTTCACGGGGCCACTTTCAGGAGACAAAAGGAAAACTTAGGGATCTTTCATTTCAGGTTTGCATGTGTACAGACAGAGACATTTTCTGCTCACTCATTTTAATGCACGCCCCCATCTCAGTCACTGTACACATGCAGAAGTATAACATAGTTAAGTCAGCATTCTTGAAAAGTAAATGTACAGTGACAACACCAGTCTGTCCACTTACTGCCTTGTGCAAAATAGAGATATTACAGCATCATAAACAATTGAAATTTCAGGCTACTGGCATGTTTCTTTAGGCAGAGAACAAAATGCAAGATGATTTATTCCTTTTTTGTGTAGTACACAAGTTATAAGTGAATACATGTACCAGTAGTTGCTCATCAAGAATGCAAATTTTCTAAAAATGTCTTTTCATCACTGTGAAACTTGTATCACAGCAAAACAGTAGAACATGTACAACATTGGGATAAAAACCAAGTTAGTTACTGATCTACTTGTAATACTCTTCAACAACATTCTTTCCCCAAACTTCTCAAAACAACCACTAACCCCCCAACACAATGAGAAAACACACCTACTTCAGGGCAATACCATAATATATTTGGAAAGCTCCATAACTTCTATCAATGGCACTCTTTATAGAGGAGCTTGTCATGACTTCATTCCCCTCTTCCACCCATGCCCATTACTTCACCTCGCACACGATTTCAGAGGCTGCACTATGAATTAACAAAATCAGTTTGCCCTATTTCACAACCTGAAGACTTTGACAGCTTCCAGTACGCACATTTCTGCCGTTAGTTAAATTAAAAAAAAACACTAAGTCCTGTCTACCTTTTTCAGCTTATGATATCTTTCTTCTGGCGTGTCCAAGCCATTTGTCAGTGTGGTCACTGAAGGTCCATCACTTATTCCTGAAATGAAACAAGAGGAACAAAAAAAAGGGTCTGGTGCAAATTTTAGGTAACTATGAAAACAACCATAATCACAAATCATAATCTCATCTCTCATTTTGGGTTGAAGTTCAAAACAGCAACTACGCAAGCTTACCTGTAATATTGATTTGTACAAAAAAAAAGGTCATCTCCAACACCCCTGCAGTATCTACTGAGCTGAATCCAACACAGAGGGAGGTAGCATGTCTGCAACATCCAGGGCACTCTACTTCTCAATGCTAACTGTAAGAAGGGCAAATTCCAAGAACATGGGGTTGATACACCTGTGCAACTAACACCTCAAATGGAGGAATACCAAACAGCCTTGTGCAATGGTCAATAATTTTAATCAACAGAAATTTACTCTTTTCATTCACCTGACAGTTGAATCCCAAACGCTTGCCAGACTGCTTCAGCCCTTAAATCCACATTACTCCAAACAAACGGTTCACAAATGCTCCCCATAAACTGCAACATTCTAGAGGTGGAATACGATAAGAATATGCAATGGGATCAAACATTGGGCACCTGAATTACACTTCACTGAGATAGCAAGAACTGCAGATGCTGGAGTCAGAGATAAAGTGTGGAGCTGGAGGAACACAGCAGGCCAGGCAGCATTGGGACAGGAAAGCTGACGTTTCAAGAAGGGTCCCGACCCGAAACGTCAGCCTTCCTGTCCCTCTGATGCTGCCTGGCCTGCTGTATTCCTCCAGTTCCACACTTCGTTATCTCTGAATTAAACTTCAACCAGGTTGAAAACCATGTTTCTCTTACACAATTCAGCTTCAGTTTTTATTTTTGTGTGGCTAAACAAAGCAATGCTAAAACCTCTACTGAAACATGCACATTACGACTTCAAACATAACTCTCGAGTTATCCCAGGGCTTGCAGACAGGAGTACCCATGAATCCGATGCTGCTTCTTTATTTCCTCACATTGATCTACTTGGACTCTGCTCCCTGCTGAAATCATCAGTATAACTAACAACGGAATTTAAAGCAAATCCAATGATTACATTAGGGACAATGCATATACCTTCAGCACGATTCCAGTTACAAAACCTTTCCCAATAGTTTCTATAAACTTCCTCCAAAATTAGAGGACATCGATTAAAAAGAAAGACCCATTATGCCAATGGGCCAGTGACTTTGACCAGATAGTGCTCATTTCTGCTTAACAGTTCTTCAGCTTCAACTTAAAACCTGCAGTTACCTGGTAACAAAGGATTTATCTGACTGTATTTAGAGACCATTTACTCTAATAAATATAGCAATGTAGGAAGAACACTGACTCATTCAGTCCATACAAGTGATGAGGGCATTCAAACTATGCACAAGGATCCTACTAAAAATTTTAATTTTTTTCTCAGAGTAATAGATTTATCAATTTTTCTGAAAAACTAGGGACGTTTTACACATTACTATTGGGCATTCAACATTACCTGAAAATTCTCCATCGATTGCCAGAAAATCAGCTTCATCAATAGCTTCATATATTAGATTTAGGCGCTCCTTAAAATCTGTTGAGAAACCACAATTACATTGTATCTATAATAAAAAGGCAGGCCATTGAGCCCAACAGGTTCATCCCAAAGTCTGAGATACATCAACCTTATCCTATTTATCCTCACCTAACCCCATAACTTCATAATTTTATTCCATTCAAATTACCTCATTTAAATGCATCTGTGCTAATCACCTCCACTAATCCATGTGGTCACGAGTTCTTCATACTAGCTACACTTTAGATTAAAGAAGCTCCTCCTGAATTTCTTATTATCTTTATTAGTAAATATCATATCTAGTTATGGTCTCTCTCTCGTAAATAAGAACACCAGTACAACAGTAGGCTGTTCAGTCTTTTACACCAGCTCCACTAAACTAGATTGCGGCAGATAATCTATGCAACACCTCCTCAATGCTATATATGCTCCGTCTGAAAGTCTTTATGCCATTAGTAGCTGGAAAACGAACAATCCATGTCTTCAATTTACATAATAAGCTTTCTGCAGCCCCCTGGTGTAGAGAATTAAAGATTCACCATTGTCTGGGTGATTAAATTCCTCAATCCTAAATGGATCGCCTTTTATTCTGACACATGGTCTCCTGGTTCTGAGCTGCACAGCGAGGAAAAAATGTTCTTTCCTCATCTATGCTGTCCATTCCTTTAAAGAATGGTGTGTGCTTCTCAGAGATCAGCACTTATTCTTCTAAGCTGATCAGAAAATTGGCCCAGTTTCCTCATGGGATGATGGTATTATCCCAGGAATCAATCTGGTGAACCATTGCTGCACTCCCCTTCCTCAATGGAAGCGTATCTTTCCTTCAAGAGGAAGCTACACATAATACTCCAATTTGGTCTAAACGGTGTTCCATACAATTGGAGCAAAACTTCTTTGCTGCCCCACGTAAATTTTCTTGTAGTAAAGGGAAAAGCACCTTCCGAATCACTTGCCGCACCAGCATGCTAGCTCTCAGTGACCTATGAAAAAGGACACCTAGTCCCTTTGACAACAATATTTTCCAGTCTCTCACCGTTCCAAAAAAAATACTCTACACCTCTATTCCTACTATGAAGTGGATATCCTCACACTTATCAACATTGTATTCAGCCAACTCTGCTGAATAAAACTAGCATACCTCCAAGCCAGTCACTGTTCAAATAGCACCAGCAGGTTCAAGATCAAAGTGCTAGTCGAGAAATTTCTTTTCTCGTTAGACTACTTGAAGAAAATCTCCAGTGACCATTGTAAATTTTCAATGACCTCTTAAAGAAAGCAGTTCAGGAATTTCCAACAGTTGGAAGTAAATTCCTTTATTGACAATCCTCCAAAACAGGTTCTCCAAGCGATATTAAATACAAAGCACCTTCTTAACACTTTATGGTAACCAATTTATTCCTATTGTCTGCATTCTGCATGTTAAGCAATCTTCAATCCAGTGTAGTGTATTAGCCCTAATTCCATGCCCTTTCACTTTCTATGTGGGATGTTTTCAAACACCTAAAAATACATTCACTAGTCTCCTCTTCGCTATTCATACAATCACAGAATCCCTACAGCATGGAAGCAAGCCATTCAGCCCATCGAATCCATACAACTCTGAACAACAATCCAACTAGACCAAAACACCCTACCCGATCCCTATAGTCCTGTATTTCCGATGACTATTCCACCTAGCCTGAACATCCCGAGACGCTATGGTCAGTCCACCTAACCTGTACATCTTTGGTCAGTGGGAGGAAACCAGAGCACCTAGAGGAAATCCACAGTGACATGGTGAAAATGCAAACTCCACACAGATAGTGGCCAGGGTCTGGAATCGAACTAGAGTCCCTGGCACTGTGAGCCACTGAGTCACCAGGCCACCTGCTCATAACATCGTCAAACAAAAATGTAAAAAGTTTGTCAAACATGATTTCCCATTTCTAAATCCACTGGTCCAATCAAGCAATTATTTGGTAAATATCAGCAAATAGGTCCTTTATTATGGATTCTAGCATTTTTCGTGGCTAGTAGCATCAGGCTGACAGCTCTGTAGTTTGTTTTCTCTTGCCTTCCTTTAAGTAGCGGAATTACATTTGCAACCTTCTAATTTGTGGGTAGCATTAGAGAATAGCATTTTGCAAGGTGATAGCTCATGAATTCATGGATGCATTAGCAATCTTTCAAAATTCAGGTGAAGGTCATTGGGCCAAAGTGACTTGTCAACTTTCAATCCCATTAATTTCTCCAATAGTACTTTTTTTAAAAAAAAGTTACACAGTTTCACTAGACCCTTTGATTTGAATTGTTTCAGGGAGACTCAGCCTGACTTCACAGATGGCGGCACAGAAGTACTTATTTAGCTTCACTGCCATTTTTCTATTCCCAATTATAAACTGACCTGTCTCTACCTGTTGTGGATATACCCATGTGTTTGCTAACCTTTTCCTTCTAAACAATCATATTTTGAAATTTTCTTGCTATTTTCCATTCATCTTTTATTCTTTATCAATATCTTTATTCACCTTTGCTGAATTCTAAAATTATCCCAATCCTCAAGCTTACAACAGTTTTGTCAACTTTATAAACCTGTTCCTTTTAAGCAATACTAATTTTCATTTCCCTGTTGAGTATTTCTGCCTTCTAAGAAGGCAAGTTTCTTGAAAACCAAGCATTATTTCTTAAAGAAAAAAAAATACTGGACATTACCTATCCTCCATCAAATCTTTTAATGTATTTTTTCCAATACGTCACAACCAACTTCCAGCTCATACCTTCAGAATTGCCCTTGACTTGAAGGTACGTGTTTCAGATTTAACTACATCTTCTTCAAACAAAGATGGAAATTTCTATCATACAGTCAATATTCCCTAAGCGTTCAATTGCAAGATTAAAATTAGCTGTTTCTCATTACATAATACTAGAATTAAAAACGCTATATGCCGTTGCTGGTTTCTCAACATTTACTTCAGAAAACTTCCTCAAACACAATCCAGAAACCTTTCCTCCAGAGCATCAGTGCTCATTTAAAATTTATCCAGCCTAGATGTAGATTAGAGAAACCCACAGTTACTGCATTCTTCTCACTACATGCACCTCCAATTCCCTAATTTACACTGTGTACACCACTACCACAACTTATTAGTGGCCTATAAAATACACCTACTAATCTTTGCTGCCCCAGCTCTTCTTTCAACTCCACTCAAAAACAGATTCTGTTTTCTGTTCTTCCAACTGCAGAGTCTCTCTCTATCTAATACACACTGATTTCATCCCCTATCCAACCTCCTTTCCCTTTTTGCCTTTCCTTCCTAAATCTTGAATATCTTTTAATTTTCAGTTCCCAAGCTTGTTACCCTGCAGCTATGCTTCTGCAATGGCAATCCAATCTTTTTTTGTACTCCTTCTGACACCATCAATTCACCCATCTTGGTGTGAATGCTGTATACCTTTAGGTAGAATGTTCTTAATTTTAAAAAAAACTATTCTGTAATTTGATTTTGGTATTGGAGGACTTTGGTGTTTTTGCTGCTTTCAATTTTCATTTACAGCTTTTCTATTTTCCCAAAACTAATTCTTGGTTTTTGTTTTATTTTCTCTACAATAACCATTCCAGGCTTTTGCTGATTTTAAAAGCTGTTATTTGATCACGCCTCAGCCTTCGCTTTCTTAAATGGAATTAATTACTCATGTATCAATTATCACAAGATAGCACAGCACAACTGACCATTTAGCCCATCGAGTCATTATTGACTCTTCCATAAAGAAATCATGTTGATCTCAGTCGCCTCCCCTCACTACCCATATCCTTGTTATTCTTTCCTCTGTTAAATATTCATCTAATTCCATTTTGAAGAATCTGAATTTGATGATATACTGTGTTTCAAATTGTGACGTCCTTAAATTAGAAGTGGCTTTCAATTTTACTGAGCCAACAGTTTACAATGGCCCAACTCCCCTTATTCCAAAAGTGAGCAAGAAAACTTAGTTGGCAATACAATATCACCCCTATGTTCACTGACCTATGTTGCCTTTCAGTCCAGCAACATGTTGATCTAAAAAAATTCTTATCCATGACTTTAACTCGTTCCATGGCCTTACCCCATCTCATCGCTGCACTCTTCCAAATCTAGCCTCTTATACATTTCCAAATGACTAACTATTCCAACAATGGCTGTGCTGTCAATTGTGGAGGCCTCGGATTCTGCAATTTTTACCTATATCAATCCACCTTGCTTTCTTTGATGAACATTCTTAAAACATTCCTCTTTGATCAAGCTTTTGGTCATCTTACCCAATATCTCCTTTCATGCCTCAGGGGAACATTATCTTATCTAAATAAGGTAAATGACATGTTGCATTTTGGAAAGGCAAATCAGGGCAGGACTTATACACTTAATCGTAAGGTCTTGGTGAGTGTTGCCACACAAAGAGACCTTGGGGTGTAGGCTCACAGTTCCTCAAAAGTGGAGTTACAGGTAACAGGGTGAAGGAGACATTTGGTATGCTTGCCGTTATTGGTTGGTGCAATGAGTATAGGAGTTGGGAGGTCATGTTGTGGCTGTACAGGACATTGGTTAAGCCACATTTGGAATACTGCATCAAATTCTGGTCTCCCTGCTATAGGTAAGATGTTGTTAAACTTAAAAGGGTGCAGAAAAGATTTACAAGATGTCACCGGGTTGGAGGGTTTGATCTAAGGGGAGATGCTAAACAGGCCTAGGGCTAATTTTCCCTGGAGTGTCAGAGGCTGAAGGGTTTCCTTGTAGAAGTTTATAAGATCATGAGGGGAATAGATATTGTGAATAGTCAAAGTCTTTTCCCCAGCATAGCAGAGTCCAAAGCTAGAGGGCATAGGTTTAAGGTGAGAAGGGGAAGATTTAAAAGGGACACAAGAGACAACTTTTTCATACAGATGGTGGTGCATGTAAGGACTGAGCTGCCAGAGGTGGTGGAGGAGGCTGGTACAATTACAACATTTAAAAGTCATCTGGATGGGTACACAAATAGGAAGGGTTTAGAGGGATATGGGCCAAATGGTACTAGATTAATTTGGGATATCTGGTCGGCATGTACGAGTTGAAGTGAAGAGTTTGTTTCTGTGCTGTATAACTCAATGACTCTACACTGAATGGCTGAGAACCCTCAAACCTCCAGGGTAGAGATTTCAAAAGATTCATACCCTCAGAGTAAAGAAACATTGAAACAGTGTGCTGTTTCTGGTCAGCACCCACTTCCACTTCAAGCCAAGAGAAACATCCTTTCTACATTTACCTTGGCAATCCCTGGAAAATACTAGGATGTTTGAATGGAATCCTCTTTCGTTCTAGATTCCAGAAAATAATGGCCCAATCTATTTAAGCTTCCGTCATAGGACAATCCCAGGAATTAATTTAGCAATATTGCTGCATTTTGAATAAATTTAGTCTAGATGTGACTTTTACATTATAACACACCTATGAGCCTATCTGTGCCTTTCATTATGTTGTAGACACTATACAAGTTATTACTGTTACATATGATAGCTTTGCCAGTTTGCACATGAAGAATTCAAGCCAAACAAACGAAGTCAGATTGAGTGTCAGGTCTACTAGTTACAGAGGTACATAAAGATCCTTGAAAATATTTCAAAATGCTGAACAGCATAGGAATGGCTCACTAGCATTTTGTCAAGTCACTATACAAGTAGAGACTCAAATATTACAGCAATTAATTCAATAAAATGCAGGTCAAATTCCTGTTTTTCTTGTGTGTCAAGGAAACAAAAATAATACTTCAGTCCAAATACCAGAATAGTGCTTGCCTACTCATTTCTACCATAATGTTATTCTTGGAGAAACAAAAACAGACTCAGTTATCAGCTGCAGCACAAATTGTAACATGCTCACTTTAGTCAGAGAGATTATTGGTGTGTCCTACGAGAGACACTAGAGTACAAGACTGATGAAACTTCAGTGTAGTGCTGAGAGAGTATGACATGGTCAGAAATGTCATATTTACATAAGGTACAAAATGGAGACAAAAACAGAAATTGCCAGAAAATCTCAGCAGATCTGTGGACCAGTGACCTTTCTTCAGAACTGGCCCCAAAAATGTTAACTGATCTCTCTCCACAGATGAAGAGATTTTCTAGCAGCTCCTCTTTTTGTTTCAGAATTTCAGGATCCACAGTTTTGATTTTGCAAACTGGATAGTCTGTCAGCTTTAAGTGAATGAGAAGGATCTCACTGCATTATATCAAAGAGCAGGGCAGTCCTCACAGTGCCCTGAACAACATATATAAAAAAAAAAAAATCGCTCAATAACAATGTGGTTGTTTTCAGGTCACAATCTTCTTACTGTTTGTAGAACATCAATGAACAAACTTGATTGTCACCTTTTCTATATTACACATTTCAAAATTATTTAAGTTACTTTAAAGCACTTCAAGACATTAAGATCATGAGGTCTTATGTAGATTTTTTTTAAAAACTGTAATCCATTCACTACTTTGCATTTTTCAGATCAAGCTTATTCCTTCCTTCATTATCCAACCAATATGTGCAAATGAGGGAGCAAGCAGACAGTTTGAACATTAAACTTTTCATAGGAACTGATCAAAAAGGAGAGGTTTACAACAGCAGAATAAGAGTCAAAAAAGCTGGTGCAGCAGCACTTTTGGCCCAGATTTATTATTTGCAGAAAATAATTTGGGAACCATTATTGACAGCTGAACATTATATATCTTACTTACAAATTAAAAAAAAAAATCAGCTTCACACAAATTATAAATCAGAGGAATTTCACATAACCCTTAGCAACATTAGAACAAAGATTACACATCAATAAATACTTAATAGGTTGTAAAGCACCTGGAGATATCCTGAGACCGTGAAAGGCATTAAATAAAAGCATGTATTTAGTTTACATTAGGTGCCATGAAGCTTTAAGCCAGGTTCAGCAACTGTCCTTCGTACAGTCAAATACAAAGAGGCGTGGAAACATCAATGCAACCAGGGACTTCAGTGGCTGCCCAGTTGAGGTCAAGAGGATGGAGGCAAAAGAAATGCGTGTAACTTGCACTTCGCAAATATTGACTCCACTGGGGGAAGCAGCCTGTTCTCACATGCAAAGAGCGGATGTGCGGCAGATTAGCGCTTTTCCTTTACCCCGGACCCGGACCCGGACCCGGACCCGGACCCGGACCCTGTCAATAGGTCCCACCGCCACCACCACACAAACCCATCCCCCTCCCTCCCCCTTTGTACCGAACCCTATCAATAAGTCCCTAAAATCCCAGCCCCCACCCCCCCCCCCCCCCCCGCCCCCGACACACGCGGGGCTCTGCATTCACCCAAACACTCCGGCCTGGGCCCAAAAAGGAAACGTTGCCTCCAAAACGGCCCTAACCGCTTGGGTTTCATCGCATCCGCACCCTGCACACTCCTGTCCCGACTCCCCCGTCAACCCAGAGCACAAAGGCTTGCCCCTCTCGCACTTACTCTGCCTGGTGATCTCCATAGCTGCCCAGACAAACCTCTCTCTCTCTTTCACTCACACACACAACACACAGGAACAACACCACCACCTTCAACCTTTGCCCTTTAATCTTCACTCCGCAGTCACTTCCGGTGAAGACAATAAACACGTGGTTAAGGGCACTCCAAGTAGAACACACTCACCATAAGACATTCTAAGTTCAGACTTAACATGCATCTATATATATGCTTAAAAACGAACGTATAATATTATACCTAAATTCTAAATGCAATATTATTTAATTTTATAAGCTTTCTTTGTTTGTGGTTTAGTTCGCCCTTAGCTGTGCCCTTCCAAAAGGAGGTACTTTTACTGTTTGTCAATTGACATTGAGGCAGCATATTGTGCTCTTATGCTTCTTCTAAAGAATTAAAAAGCCATATAAATATCCTGCTCATGTGACTTTATCCCCACTAAATGGCTCCTCACCTTCCCCTTGCTAGCTTATTGCAAACAATCTTTCTCTGCCACCCCTCAGGTACTGTTCTCCATAACTTTCAAACCTGATGTCATAATATACATGTTCAAAATGTTCATCCTTGATTTATCTAACCTGGCAAATGACAGCTCTGTAATCTAGAACCTTACACCTAAATTTCTAATGAAACTGTCTAAGTAAACACCTCACAGTGTAAATATACTCCCCCAAAACTTTAGTGCCCCAGTATGCTGAAAATTATCAAATCAGATAGCATTGTCTTAGGCCTAAGAGATCCTGCTCGGATTGCATCTCAGCTCAGAGAGCAGAAACACTCAACAAAATTACTCCTTTGTGCTCAAGCTCTGAGGTTGTCAATCATCAGCTGGAGAGTTATCAATGGGAGAATGGATAAGGCTTTGAATTATGCTGAGAAACAGTCCAGACCTAACTGGAACAATCTAAAGGAAATAAAAGAAGAAACATTTATATAAGGGCCAGCAGAATCTTACAGGCATACTTTGAATGAAATTGCCAGAGTATGCAATGTAAATACTGCAGAAGACACTAAACGAAAGAAAAGTAAGCATGTCCAGCATACGAAAAGTATTGCTCTAACTGAAAGAAGCCGAATCACTTTGCACATGAGCGTTTAACTGGAAAGAAGCAAAACAAGCTTATAGAGATGGCTGCTAAAGAGATGACAGATGATGTTTCTGATAACAAGTTCGCATTGTAAAGTCTAAAGATTTGTGACTGTTAGAATGATGACTACAGAAGGGGTGCATCAAGTTTCTAGTAGGTATTAGTGCTATGTACAATATGGTTTGCAGGCCTGTGTGAAGTTGCGCAAGATGGTGATCTGAAAATGAAGTGGTTGTGGCTAAACCTGAGAATGTATGATGGAATGATACTCACCCCAAGCAGACAAATGAAACTGAGAAAACAAAGAACAAAAAAACACAAATAGTAGAGATTAAGAAAAAATCCTCTCACCACAGATGAAGGAAGTTTGAAGTTTGGGGTGATTGCCCAACTTGTGTTTATGGAGAATTGAATCTGAAAGATAAGCATCTTGGTCAAGCAAACTATGTGACAACATGTGGTGATGAAAAGATGGCCTGAAACCATCTAGGACATATCTGTTTTTTTGAAGAGTGTATGTAGCAGTGAGGGAATAGCCCAAAATGTTATCTTCTGCAGAGGAAACAAAAGTAATTAATTCTAAGGAGATGGGAAAAGAGATGCTGAAGCACATCCATGCAAACCATCAACCAGCTGATGTCTACCCTGAAAAGGCAAGAGAAGTTCCCTACTGACCAAATATGAGCAATGGGATAAACAACCACATCAGCCACGGTAGAGCATTGAAAGAAATACCAAGCTAAGCAAGCTAAAGTGCCACTCATGACTCATTACATTGTCAAAGGACCATGGATGAAGATTAGATGAAGATGAAGAGGAGCCCACATTACTTTTGCAGGAGCTGATTGTCTCATCACCTACATGACTACACCATCATGGCTACTTATCTGTGTACTAGGAATTAGACCAGCTGACATCAACCTCTACCAGAGACATTGTGGAATGCTGAAAGCACATTTCAGTTGTTACAATATTCTAGACTTTTAAATCAGCAACGATGGCCCACAACTGACAAGTGAAGAATTCAGACGCTTCATAAATGATTGAGAAATTCAATACCACGTCTCATGTATCCCCAGTCAAATGGAAAAGCCAAGGTGGCAGTGAAGGTTTCCAAACGTTTGAGCTATTTGGACACAAGTGTGTACAAGACAATCCTCGAGTGGAGAAACACATTTACTGAAGGCATGGAAAGTAGTCCAGTCCAATGACTGATGTCACACTGTGCCCAAACTACTCTTCCAATAAGTAAAAGAAAAGAGGCAGTGAGTGACAAAATCATGGATGCATATGTGTGTATGAATGTTTGTCCTAAATCATTCCCATCAATGTCTTGAATGCAGTAACAAATCCCACTTTGTTTAACCCCAAAGACTTTGCTGTGGGTAATTTTTAATTGCACTTCACAACAGGGTTTGGGGAAACATGTCACTGTCTTTTGTTAAGAAGGTAAAAGAAATATGGACAGAATATGGACAGGTACGATAGGAGTACAGTAAGAATAACTTAATTAATTTACCCCTTTTGTCAGTGACTGCATGCAATTTTTGTTTCTTTTATCAAAAGGAAGGTGCTTAGAAAAATGCGTTTGTAAATACATTTAAAAGTATGACTTACCATAGTCAGTTGACCTTGATTGTAAGTTTTACAGTTTAGAATGAGAAAGCATTAAAAACCTCCATATTAAATGCTATTCAAGGCTGACTTGATATATTTTTAAGTGACAAGAGTGTTGCAAGTTATGGGAGGACAGGCAGGAAAGTGTAGTTAGGCCAGTCAAATTAGCCATGGTCTTATTGAATAGTGGAGCAAGCTCATTGAGCTTAATGCACAACTTCTGCTCCTATTTCTTATGATTCTTATATTTTTGAGAAACAAATGCTGTGTGATTCCTGATCTTATTTTTTTTGCCACATATTTATCCACACCAAACAATGGAAAAAAGTAATGCCTGATTGGTTCTGGTAAACTTCAGCTTTGGGGTTGTTAATCCAGAGAACCAGGTAATGTTCTAGGGATCTGGGTTTGAATCCTGCCATGGTAGATGGTGGAATTTAAATTCAATAAATATCCAGAATTAAGAGTCTGATGATGACCGTGAATCGATTACTGTTTGCCAGGACAAACCAATCTGGTTCACTAATGTCCTTTAGGGAAGGAAACTGGCATCCTTACCTGATCTGGCCTACATGTGACTTCAGACCTACTGCAATGTGGTTGACTCATGGGCTATAAATGCTGGCCTGGCCAGTGACATCCTCATCCTGTGAATGAATAAAAAAAACACTGTCCATCACTTACTGATGATTGTGAGTAGATAGATGGGATGATAATTAACCAGGTTGGATTTGTCCTTCTGTTGTGTACCGGACATACCTGTGCTATTTCTACATTGTCACATAGATGCCAGTGTTGTAGCTGCACTGGAACAACTTGACGAGGGGAGTGGGAAGTTCCAAAATGCAAGTCATCAGTACTATTGCTAAAATGTTGTTGGGGCCCATAGCTTTTTCAGTATTCAGTGCCTCCAACCATTTCTTGATACCACGTGGAGTGAATCGAATTGGTTGAAGATGGGCATCCGTAATGCGGGAGGATGCCAAGATGAGTCATCAACTCAGCACTTCTAGCTAAAGATTGCAGTGAGTGCTTATTGGAAGCGCCTTTTTTGGACAAGATCTCATGGTACAATCTTAAAAAGGAATGTGAGAAGGAGAGAGCTGTATTCCTCTTATACTGCCCAATGATTATCCCTCAAGCAACAACAATAAATAAGACTTTTTGATAATTAGCTTATTGTTGTTTGTGTTCAAATTAATGCTGCCACCTGTCCTTCTCAAAATGGTTACCATATGGCATTGCAACAATCATTACAGTTCAAAAGTACTCCACTGACTAGCAAGGGTTTTGTCCATGGAAGATGTCATATAAAGACCACACCAAAATACTGCAGATGCCACAAATTCAACATACAAACAGAAAATACTGGAAGACTCAGCATGTCTGGCAGCATCTGTGGATGGAGAGGTGATGTTTGAGGTCACGGCCTTTCATCACAACTGGAAAGATTTATGTATATGTATAGGTTTTATAGAAGTAAAATGAGGAAAGATGGAAACCAAAAAAATGTTGCGACCTGTGGCTCAGGTGGAATGTAGGAGAGATTAAATGACAATGGTGGGGCATTTCTAACATTCCCTTCTCATGAAAGGTCATGGGGACTGAGATGTTAACTCTATTTGACTCTCAATAGGTGCTGCTAAATAATTCCAGCATTTTCTGTTTCCATCCGAGTGCCAGCAATTTGAAGAAGGCTGACTGGAAATTCGAAATTTTGCTTTTTCTCCGCAGATGATGCCAGGCCTGCTCAGTTTTTCAACTGCTGTTGAGATTTCCAGCATCCGCAGGTCTTTGTTCTTTTTTTAAATAAGCCAGCAGTCTTTCTGTTTTGATTCCAGATCTTTCGGGATCTCTAGGCCGGGTCTTGTTTCTCTCCACCCAGCAGAGCCAGGGAAATCCCGGACTGGAGTAGACGAAACACTGACGTCGCGGCGTTCACGAACGAGCCAATCATCGGCTTCTGCTCTGATTGGCGTGGGCCACAGCCACTCGCTGCGGGGACCGGTTGCGACGGCTGGTGTGCGATTTGTTGGCTGGTGGAAGGCGATCCTCCAATAAGCTAGGAGGGCGGTGCGTGCTGACGCGCGCGACCTTTTGTTATAGGAGGGGCTCGCGACCAGACTTCACCTGAAACATTAATGGCGGCCTTAGTGGGAAGATGTAGTCGATGGGAGATTGAGCTATGGTAGCAGAAAGGCAATTGGTTTCGAAAGGTATCTGTGATTTCGTAATAATTTTTCGGTTAGAGTAAATGCAAGGTGTTTTTTCACTCCGTGAGCCCTTTCAATCATGTACATTTCGGGCCAAATAGCTTGAACCTGTTTCTCACAAGACACTTCATCAGGAGTTATTCACAGGCCAAGCCCCCACGAAT